TTGTATCACTATTCTCATTTACCTCTAAAATTTTATTTTAATTTCTCCCTTGATTTCTTCTGCTATCCATTCATTATGTAAAAGTATATTATTTAATCTCCAGATGTTAGAGTGATTTCTGTTTTTTATCTTATTTATTTCTAATTTCATTTCTGATAGAATGCAAGGTATTATCTCTGTTTTATTGTGTTTGCCAGCATTTGCTTTGTGACCTCAAAGCGGTGTATTTTGGAAACTGTTCCAGATGCTGCTGAGAAGAAAGTAAAATCAGTCGTTGATGGATAAAATATTCTACAGATATCTGTTAGGTCCATATTATTAATTGTATTTTTTTAGTTCTGTAGAATTTTAGCTTAGTTTTTGTTTGGATGATCTATCCAGTGGTGAGAGAGACATGTTGAAGTCACTTAATATTATTGTATTTTTGTCTATTTGATTCTTAACATTAAGAATGGTTTATTTGGGGCTGGRGTTCAGCGGTAGATTGCTCGCCTAGAATGTGCGAGGCCTGGGTTTGATCCTCAGCACCACGTAAAAATCAATAAATGGAATGAAGGTGTTGTGTCCAACCACAACTAAAAACTAAATATTAAAAAAAAGAAGAGTTTATTTGATGTATGTAGACGCTTAGTTGTTTGGGACATAAGTATTTACAATCAATATATCTTGTTGACGTATGATTCCAAAGTGACCTTTTTTGTCTCTTTTGATGAGTCTTCACTTCAGGTCCACTTTATCTGATATAAGAATATCAACCCACGCTTGTTTATGAGTCCCAGGTGAATTGTATTTTTTTYCCCTCCTTTCACCTTCAGTCTGTGGRTGTCTTGCCTGTGGGGTATGTTTCTTGCAGTCAGCGATTGTTGAGTCTTGTTTTTCAATCCAGTCTGTGAACCTGTATTTTTTKATTAAATAGTTTAGACCATTTATATTTAATGTTATTATCAAAAGGTGAGTTTTATTTTCTGCCATTTTTGATTCATTTCTAATGTTAAAATTGGACTTCATTATTTTTTGATTGACTTTTCTAATGTAATTCCTCCCTATGCTGGTTTTTATTTTTATTTTTTCATTTCTTCTTCATGGAATATTTTGTGAATATGTTTTATAGTATAGGTTTTCTAGTTATGAATTCTTTTAGCTTTCATTTATTATGGAAGTTTTTATCTCATCTTCAATTCTGAAGTTTAATTTTTGCTTGATACAGTATTCTTGGTTGGCACCCATTTTTTTTCAGTGCTTCATGTGTATTATCACAAGCCCTTCTGGCTTTAGGATCTGGGTTGAGAAATCATTTGAAATCTGGATTGGTTTACCTTTCAGTGTGACCAACCATTTTTCTCCTGAAGCTTTAAAAATTTTATTTATTTTATATGTTAGACATTTTCATAATATTGTGTTTTGGAGTGGAACTATTGTGATTTTGTATATTGGGAGTTCTGTATGCCTCTTGTATTTTAATTTCCATCTCATTCTTAAGGTTTGGAAATTTTTCTTATACTATTTCATTGAAAAGATTGTACATCCCTTTAGCTTGTATTTTAGAGCCTTCATCTACCTCAATGATTCTAAAATTTGGCCTCTTGATGTTATCACAGATTTCTTGACTTTTCTGTTTATGGTGTCTTAACATCTTTTCTCTGTGGTCAACTTTATTTTGAAGATTATGTACTTTGTCTTTGAGGATTAAAAATCTGTCTTCAAAGTGGCCTAACCTATTGGTGGTGCATTCCACTGAATTTTTAATTTAGTTTGTTGATTCTTTTATTTCCAGGATTTCTGTTTGGTTGTTTTTTCAGAATCTCTCTCTTTATTGAAGTGATCTTTCACTTTCTATATTTTCTGTGATTTCACTTCTTACATTTCTTTTAGCTCATAGAACATTTTAACTGTGAACTTTCTAAATTCCTTCTCTGGCATTCCCTCTACTGTAGTGTCAATGAAGTCTGTTGTTCAAGCATTATAGACTGTTTGGGATGGTTTGGTTCCTTGCTTTTCATATTGTTTGATGTCTACCTATCCATCCATATAGYTCTCACTTCTTCTAAGCGAAGAACTACTTTGTGAGCTTCTTTCTCTTAAGAGCCCTGGTTTGGGTGAATGTCTAGTTAATGATATTTTAAGTTGTGATCTCATTAGCACTACTTTAAGAAATGCTACTGAGCCCCATGGACTATAATCACTATWGAGCAAAGCCTTGTTATTTATATTCAACCTTATAAGAAACAAAAACTTACTGCAGTTGTTCTCCACACTTACTCACGTTCAGGTGTAAACCTATAATAATCTTTGGAATAAGTCGGTAATTAGTTGGTAAATTTAATAAACTTACCTTAAATGAGGCTAAAAGGGGGAGGAATAAACATTGTCAAGGTGAAGAAAATTCTTGTTAAATTTTGGTTTGGATTTCGTTGAGGTTTGGACATTTAGCAGATGTCCATCAGTTTTTGGTTCTGGATCTCTCACAAGTTGCAGGGCCACAGGAGCCAAGTCCCTAGTTTTTATGAGCCTCCAACAGCAGCTTCTGGTTTGTCAGCCCAGAGGCCTGCAGCTGAATGCTTGGAGGGCGCACTGGTGTGAGTTGGCTGTTTCTATTGTGTGCCGTAGTTCAGGATGCAGGCTCTGAGGCGCCCTGTGTTTGCTGTGGGTCATCGTGTATCTGCTCCTCTCTATAGAATCCTTTTCATGGTAGGGAAGATCCTGGTAGCCGTGTGCACAGGAACTCTGGTTGTGGGATTTCTGCATGTGTTCTGTGGTGCGCGGCTACTCCCCTGGCCGGCCACTCTGTGAGGTACTGCAGTGAAGGGTGTCAGGTGGTTCACCTGGACTCTCGTTTCCACTGCCCCCGGTTGTGAATGGTGGGCGTTGATTCCCTCTATTTACTAAGTCTGATGCCAGGTCCACAAGTGCCCAACAAGGCCCTCTCAGCCTTCATTTGTGATCATGGGTCAGGCTGTGTGCCACTGAAGGCGGGGGCAGCCTCTTCTCTCTGTGAAGGCTCTGGAAATTCTCCACCTCGGGCAGTGTTGGAGTGGTGAATGAATCGTGAGTCATTGAACTGCCCAGGTGCAGGGGTGATGTTTCTCTTGAGACTTTCTTGGTACAAAGATTCTGAGAAAACGGCCCAGTTGTATGGTGATGCCCTGTTCAAAGGAAAATCCCTTGCTAGCCAAAGACTTTTGTTAGTTCACAATCTTGGGTTCAAACACCTGCTGCCCACAGGTAGAGAAGGTCGAGAATCATAGGCTTGAGCCAGTGATCCCAATTGGGCTGCTCTTGCCCTCAGCTTCTGCTCTGTTTACCTTGAAGAAGCTTTCTCCCGMTGCGTCCTTCTGATGTTTAAACCTACCTAGTGAATGCACTGAGCTTGCTCGTGGTCATCTCCCTCCCCAGAGGCAGGCTGGACCTCCGMGCCCTGGCCTTGTCTCCACTTTTGTTCTGTCTTCTTCCTAATCCCCTCCTCAGCCGGTTCATGTACCCTGGATAAACTGCCATGCAGGACACGACAAGGCAGCTTCCCCCCATGTGGCCCCACCGCCCTGGTCCTGTCCCTAAGCTTCCCCGGTGCCTCCCCCAACATCAGTGGACAGGGCCTGGTGACCTTTCCTCTSMTGGGGSCCTAAGCTGCTTCGTAGCTGTGTCTCAGGGGAGCCGTGGGGCGCTGCCCAGAGCCTCTGCCCTGGCCTGGGTTTACAGGCTGAGCAGCGTTGGGCACAGTTCCTGCCAGGTCCCCACCAGCCTCGTCTGTTCCCTGGTTCACGGTGAGGGGCGGGGGAGAGGCTTCAGTGAATTTTGGCTGGTCGTGGTCTTCCTGGAAGTTCTTTCTGGCCAGATTATTAAAAGGTCCCAAGGTAGGGCACTGCCCTCCGGTTTGATTTGCAGCTGTCTGATGTACGGGGTGAATGGTCAGCCGAGGGCTCCACAGGATGCCTGTGGACCCGCAGCTCAGCTTTCTTTTCAGGCTTTGGCTTTCAACTCTTTGCTCTGTCTTAAGGAGCCTTTGGTTGGTTACCTTCACACTTTAAATTTTGTCTGTCTTTCCAAAGTGTTTTTAAGTGGGTGAGTTTAAGAGATTGTCTGTGCCTCCTTCTCTCCCCAGGTTCAGTTTTGGGGTTAGGGGACTCTGAGTTTGTTTTCTTCTCTGGTTCCATGTCTCAGACTTTGTAATATTGAGACTATTTTTTTTAAATAACTTTAAAAACATTATTTATTTTAAAGTGTCCATAAGTGGCATATTTGTTTTTCAATTTAAGTTTTTTATAGCTGTCTTATATATGTGACAATTGAACATAATGGATTGAAATTGTTGGTTTGTTAAGAAAYTATCAGAATATTAAATTCTCAGAAAATTAACAGTAATTCCAGTAATTGGATAATCTATAATTTTCTATAGGTTAATATTAAAAGCATTTATTTTGTTGCTCACCTCTCAATTCTGCTTTTCCTTTGCCATCTCCTTGTAAGGAGACCCGAACTTGCTGCCTAGCTCACTTTTGCCATCTTCCTGTCCATAAATGAATTTTCAAAAATGTTTGTGTAAATGACCTATGAATGCAGGTATGCTTTCATTTTCCCCTGATAGCCATGCTAACAATTTCTATGCATGTAGACTATTTTCAAGTACAAATTCCAATAGTAAATTATTGTCCAGTGTGGTTGTTGTCTAAAGCAAATAATAACCATGTAGTAATTGAATTAATTTATTTTTAAAAATCCTGTAGGWTTTTCAAAAGGACCATCTCTTTTTTTAAAATATGGGTTTTCTTTCCTATCACTGCACCTTCTTAATTCCTTCTCCTCCAACTCCTATTCTTCAAGACTCTACAAAAATCATTCTATAGGAAATAGTGTTAATGCTCAGTAAATTAGAAATGTTCGGAAGAATTTGAAATAAAGAAAATTCAACCCTCCCACATCCCACACCCATTCTCATCCTCTAGGAGGGTGACACTGTTTCTTATGTTGGGCTGCATCCAGATGATCTTTTCTCTGTTTCCTAGTGATCTGGAGCCTGAGTGGCTGGACAGTGTGCAGAAAAATGGAGAACTGCTGTACTTGGAGCTGAGTGAGGGTGAAGAGGAGAGCCTCCTTCCTGAGACACCAACTGTGAACCACGTCAGGTTCAGTGAAAATGAGATTATCATTGAAGAGGATGGCTACAAAGAAAGGAAAAAGTGTGAACCCAAACTCAAGCGATTTACCAAAATTTTAAAAAGTAAAAGACTTTTACCCAAGCGCAACAATAAAAAAAATAGCAGTGATAATGGGCCAGTATCCATTCTAAAGCATCAGTCCAGTCAGAAGACAGGAGTCATTATCCAACAGCAGTACAAAGATGTGAATGTTTATGTGAATCCCAAAAAGCTCACTGTCACAAAAGCCAAAGAACAGCTCAGACTTCTAGAAGTGCTGGTTGGAATTATCCACCAGACCAAGTGGAGCTGGAGGAGAAGTGAGAGGCAGGGCGATGGAGAGAGGCTTGTGGTCCACGGCCTGTCGCCAGGAGGGTCCGCTATGAAGAGTGGTCAGATAGTAGTTGGTAAGTGTCACTGATGAACGTCGGCGGCGTTTGCAAGATTCATGATTAGTGATAATGCCTTGTGAGAGCTGTGATTAAAGAAACTGTTATAGAGGGTCTCACAGATTAAGGGCTGATGAGTGATCCACTGATTATTTCTCTGTGGTAGAGAAATTGTTGCAGTTGGTGTACCACAAGGCACAGTGTTCTTAAAATAAATGGTTCAGTGTGTTGAATACATGTGCTCCTTGTTCAGGCCAGGCGTTAGCCTAATTTTAAAGTTTTGATTATGTAATTTTATTCAAGCTTGGTTATATTTGCTGACAAGAAAACTAAAATAAGTTGATTGTATGGTGATAATTTAGGCTTGAATGGCTGCATCCAATAGCATGATATAAAAATCTATAATTTATGAATAAAAATACCTTTAAATTGTATGTTTGCACTTGAGTACACTAAGTTCTTGGACTTAAACTACACTTAAACTGTTTCATTTGGCACACTTAGCAACAGTAGTATTATACATAAATTTCCTTTTAAGGGTGTTTGTCATAAAATACTCCACTGATTTTGAGGAAAAGCCTAAGTCCTCAAGTTATTCTGAATATGCATTAAGACGAGCATTCTGTGTTGCCAACAGATTTTAAGGTGTTGCATATAATGTTTGCATTAGTAGCAATCTTTCTTTCTTTCTTTTTGGTAYCAGCAGTTGAACCCAGAGGTGCTTAATCACTGAGCACATCCCAGTCCTTTTTGTTTTTTATTTAGAGACAGGGTCTCACTGAGTTGCTTAGGGCCTCACTAATTTGCTGAGCTGGCTTTGAATTAGTGATCCTCCTGCACTGCTGGGATTATGGGCGTGTGCCACTACGCCTGGCTAGTAGCAATCTTATTAATTAAAGATAAGGTCAGTGTTATTGGGGCTGGGTTTATAACTCAGTGGTAGAGYGCTTGCCTAGCACATGTGAGGCATTGGGTTTGAGCCTCAGCACCACATACAAATAAATAAATTAATTGAATAAAGGTATTGAAAAATTTCAACATGCATTAAAAAAAGATGAAGTCTGTATTATTAATGAAACTTAAAATTATAATAGTTCTAGAACCTGACAGCCTTTTAAGTTGACCCAGYTTAAGAGATTAGACAGAGAATATTTTTCAGATACTTCAGAAACATTTTTATAAGTTAAGTATGTCTGACTTGAAGTCTGAATTTCAGTTTTTTATTCATAGATTCAACAAATTAAACATTTTTTGAGCTTCTACTAAGTGCCAAGAATGYAAAAGATTGCTGTCACAATCTGATACTCTTATAAAGGAGCTCATATTCTACTGGAAGGGATGGATCACAAAGAGGCAGAGAGTTTCACACATTGTGATAACTCTTTACACAGAGGGTCCTCCAGAATCATGTAAGAACCACCTCAGGGCAAAGTGTGTGTTCTAAAGTGGCAGTAACAGCATCTCCATGTAGTCTTCTCACACTGTGATATCCATATTTCCTAGGGAGAATTACATCCGTGTCCTCAAGTCTGGGTGGGCCTATCACTACAGATTAAGTGATGCTGTGTGACTTACAAGGTTGGGTCATAAAAGGTGATAGTGCTTCTGCCTGGTTCTTTTGGGGACACTTGTTCTTGGAACCCGGTCACCATACTGTGAGAAGGCCAGGCCAAATGGCGAAGCCAGGAGTGGTGATCTGACTGACAGCCTAGCTGAGGTCCCACCCATCAGACCTGAGTGGAGAAGCTTCCGGGACAACTCCAGCCCAGCCCCACCCCCACCTGGCTGTAAATGTGTGAGGAGCCTCTTGTGGGAACCTTAGTTGAGCCCAGAGCCAGAACGGATAACAAATTAATGTGGTGGTTTCAAGCCACTGAATGTTCTAGATGGTTTGTAATGCAGCAGTTGATAACCAGAGTGGGAGCTAGTGTCCACTTGTATGCTGTTAGTGCTGAAATTTCTTTCTTGTAAAATAATGAGATTGAACTAAACTATTTCTCAGGTTAGTTTTTTTACTTCTACAGAAGGCCAAGATTCCCACTTAGGAAATCCTGCCTGGTTGTTTGCTGACCACCTGTTTTCCCATCCCACATGATGGGAAACAGCCAAGACCTTCTTTTTCCACATACCTGGGGCCTTTCCTCAGTATCTGTTTGGACTGGTTTACAGACAGATATCTACAGTTCCTGTTATCCTCTTGACATCTGGGGTAGAGGAAAGAGAATGAACCACAGAGAGGAAGAAAGCTTCTACTGTGTGTGKGGGGGGTCCTGCTATTTTTCCTTTAAGAAAAATTCTAATTTTCTTTGGCCTTTGTTAGTATACTGCCTTACCAAATATGAACAAAGGGGGAAAGAAGCCTATAGTTTCCTCTAAATGTCATAGTTTCCTCTATGAATGATCAAATAATCCAAATAAATGTCATTCCTTCAACAGACATATGTTGAGCATCTGCCATGCACCAAGCACTGCGTCAGCATTTTCCTCCACACACACATAGGTATCTATGGCTTTCAACAGAAAGGGTACATATAAGGRACCAATATCTATGTAAACTTTTTGAGTCTCAAAAAGTATCCATATAGGGGCTGGGGCTGTGGTTCAGCGGTGGAGCGCTTGCCTGGCATGTGTGAGGCCCTGGGTTCAATCCTCAGCACCACATAAAAATAAATAAATAAAATAAAGATATTGTGTCCAACTAAAAAATAAATAAAAAATTTAAAGTACCCATATAGGAAAAAAAGGAGAGTTGGCTCTTATTTCACACCTTTCATAAAAATCAATTTTGAGTACAGTGTGCATCTGAATATAAAAGATAAAAGATTTCAATAATATGGGAGAATAGCTTCAAAACTTCAGAAAGGTTTATTATATAATATTAATCACAAAATAAAATATTGCACTGAAATTAAGAACTTGGGTTTAATCAAAAGATATGCTATTGTAAGAGTCAAAAAAGGCCAACCTTCTAGAACTGACAAAGAGCTTTTATAAAACAAACTGCAAATTCAATAATAAAAATATAGACAACCCAGTTGGATAATGGACAAGAAACCCAAGCAGGCACTACACACAAGAGGATATCCAAATGACTATAAAACATACAAAAGGCTTTCAACTTTACTATTCATCAGAGAAATACAAATTGAAGCCACAATGAGACACCACTGCCTATGAGGTCCTTCATAATCCTGAAAGATGTGGTCTCAAACACCATATCCCATGGGGCATGATGGCACACACCTGTAATCCCAGCAGCTGGGGAGGCTGAGGCAGGAGGATCTCGAGTTCAAAGCCAGCCTCAGCAACTTAGTGAGGTGCTGAAGCAACTCAGTGAGACCCTGTCTCTAAATAAAATACAAAATAGGGCTGGGGATGTGTGGCTCAGTGGTCGAGCCTCTGAGTTCAATCCCTGATACTCAAAATAAACAAACAGAAAACCCCACTATATCCCTAAATGTTAAAATCCTTAAAAAAGCAAAATTCCTAATTCTTAAAATCTCAAAAATCATAATCCCAGGAGATTAAAATTCCAAATATCAAAATTCTGGAAGCTGACATCCTCCAAACTGAAATTCCCATGGGAGAAAGAAAAAGAAATAAAAGGGGGGAAAAAAGTCCCATAAGAGAAGTAGAAAGCTGAATTCTGGGGATAGCATACAATGTGACAGTGACAAAAACTTCTGATTAAAAACTCAATTAAAAAACTTCAGTGAATTAAGGCTTCATTTTTGAAGAAGCCAGCAAAGGTCCTGACTGGTTAAAACATAATCACGTGCATGGAGGATAAGAAAACATTTGTGCAGCGGTGTTGCAGTTTGATCCTCAGGATTGTGTCTGTGACCTGTGGCGTCTGCGAGTGCACCTGGAGTGCACCTGGAGTGGATTTCCACATACTGAAAACAGAGCTCAGCACGAAGATGGGAGATTTAATAGGGACTGCTCATGTCTGTGTGKATCAAATCATAGAATTTCAAAAGGGGCAGAGCTATGCGGGAAATGAATATGAACTCCAAGGAGAACCATTCCCTAAAAGATAAAAGGCAGCTCTTTATCACAATGCAAGACCTCAAAGTCCAGTTAATGAGTGTGAAAGTACCAGCTCTCGTGGGCAACATGTGCTGTTGCCCTTGATTAATCCCTGTGAGCACTTTTTCCTGTATCAACTTTTCTTTATAGCTTTTATGGGTTTTTGATTTTGCCTCTTCAGTTTTTTTTTGTTTGTTTGTTTTTATCACCCCAGTATTTTTAAATTGCCAACATTATTTTTTACAATTATATTGTAGATTTTGCTTTTACCTCATTTCCAATACTGGAGTTCTAAATTGTGTAATTTTTGTGTGACGTCATTTAGAGAATTCTAATTTGTATGTTTTGGATGTGAGGTGTCCCTCAAAAGCTCACGTGTGAGACGATGTAAGAAGGTTTGAAGGAGAAATGTTTGGTTTATCACTTTAAACCAAGCCTGCTGGTCTTAACTGAGTGGTGGCTGGAGGCAGGTGGAGTGTAGCTGGAGGAAGTGGTTCATTGTGGGTGTGACTATGGGATATATATATATATATATATATATAGTATCTGCAGAGTGGAGTCTCTCTCTGTTTTCTGATCATCATGTGAGCCACTTCCCTCCAACATACTCTTCCACCATGTTATTCTGCCTCACATTGAGCCCCATGGAATGGAGCCGGCCTTCTGTGGTCTAAGACCCCTGAAACCATGAGCCTTCAAATAAACATTTCCTCCTTGACAAATGTCTGGTTGGATCTTTAAGTCACAGTGGCGAAAAGCCTACTAAAACATRAATTTTAAAAATATCTGCATTTATGACAGATGTACTCTGCTCTTTAGGTGGCCACGTATGCACTGATAACCCATTGTGGTGTTTGATGAATCCCATCAGAAGATGTGCGTTATTAGGATCAGCACTCCAACAACAGGCACCAACATTTTTAAAAAGACCCCTACAGCTCAAGAAATAAAACCAAGTATCAGTAAATGGTACAATATCAAAGTAAAAA